AACCTGTCGTAATTTTGTTTGCATATAATCAATACTCAACTATTCTGGCTTAGTTTACAAAGGCTTTGTTTAGCATAATAATACTATGCTGAAATAGTGCACGACTTCTTTTTCTAGAGAAAATTCGACAGCACCAACGCCGGTGGTCGAGCTCATGACCCCGAGAACGTCAGTCCAACGCGCTACTGATTACGCCCCAGAAACCGTTACCTTATATACTGTGTTTTTAAAGTATATAAGCGTAGTTTTTACATTTTGGAACTTTTAAAGGAGTAATAACAAAGATATTTATCGAAATATGCCATGGAATATATAATGTATAGATAATTTGAATTTCCTTACTACAGTAAGTACAAAAATATCAATTTAAAGATAAAACAAAATATCAAAACACACCAATTATTGATTATCGTATTGATTATTTTATTTTATCTTTTCCTATAGTTCGAGACAGTATTTTAAGGGTTAGAAGCGAGAGGAAAACTTACATTTCTAATAATCGTTTCCACAATCTTTTGGAGAGTCTATTAATGTTATGGTCTTGTTGAACGTGTGGATACATTGCATCCAAATTAAGCATCATGCCGATCTGAACGAATTAAAGTTTTGTTATAAGAATCAACATCAAAGACTTTCTATGTATAGCATACGTACATCAAATTAAGGTTTAGTAAGAGTTTTCATTATTAAGAGATTTTACTGGTGAGGAAGATCGTGATCTTTTTCTGATCAGGAAGAGCAATATTCACTAACGTTCAAAGTTATATGAACCACAAGATATCCAATAATGATTCCACATTGATTGAACATCTTAGAACTGTACTGGTTGCAAAGCTAAAATATATAAAATATGTATAATGTATTAACTTCGAATAATTTGTTAATATTGAAAATGGATTAAATAGTCATATCTATAATACATGGATACTAGAAAAGTTCATACATAGCATTCAGTATTCTAGTACTCACGGTACTTCGAGATGGTGCAACAAATATCCAGGCAATGGTTTTAAAAGAATAGAGAGAATCGAAACAGTCTTTTGCCTAAATAAATACGACAATATATATATATATATATATATATATATATATATATATATATATATATATATATATATATATATATATATGCATTATGGAAAGTGACATTTTCCATCATTCTTTTGAAGGAGCGAACAAGGCATGAAAATGAAAATTTCTATAGCTTCAAATGTATAAAAGCCATAATTAAACTATGTTTAAATTGAGTATTTAGAGTAAAGTTCTTGTTATTGAAAGGTATGAAATTATGACAAACAAAACTTTCTGCGGAAAATTCTTTGAGCAAAAACCATTCTATGAAAAAAAAATTAGATTCTTGGGGTTTCTGTGTTGCCCTTGCGTTATTAATGTATTTCTCCCATCTTTACAGATCAAGTTGTTCACGACTTACTCCTCTAAGTTAAGCTTAAATTTTATGACCAGCCGATTTTTTTCTGCCTCATAATCACGTTAATTGAAAACTCAGTACTCCACAAATAGACCAATGGAACTCTGTTTCACTTCTAGACAATATCTCTTAAACAACTGAAGATATGACTTTCAATTATTTCAATGTCTTCTAAACACATTGTCAAGTTAATGGTGAGAGTTCTACATTTATCTTCTGCAAAAATAAGCATGAATAGATAAAATTCAACCAAGATAAATTCATTTAAGATAAATCAAATTACAAATTATATTTCACATACCAGTTGTAAAGTATACGAAGCATATCGCAATAGAATGACCTCTCCAATAGTCCAAAACAACAATAGTCCTAATATCTAAAAACAATAAGAAAATAGATTCTCAGTTTCATTTTAAAATGTGCGTTTTACATATCTACATTAACGTAGGTAAGCTCTTATGCAACAGTTAAGTAAGCCTTGCTGTGCCTAGGGCAACAGATAAGTAAGTTATTTTGGCCTTTCTGTGCCTAGGGCAACAGTTAAGTAAGAAAGCCTAACTGTACCTAGGGCAACAGATAAGTAAGTTATGTTAGTCTTACTGTGCCAAGGGCAACAGTTAAGTAAGCTATATTAGCCTTAGTGTGCCTAGGGCAACAAATTAGTTAGTTAGTTGAGCCTTACTGTGCCTAATGCAACAGTTGTCCTCTTCATCAGAAGCCAACAGAAAGCAGTGATGTGAAGCCCAATAGCCAATGGAATTATAACCATGACGGTATAAGCCACGCCCTTGTATACGGATTCCATGTTGTAGTGATAGTAAGAAAACAAATTCAAATTTTGCAACATTTTATAACTGTCACCGTCTGTGAAGTAGTAGGCATAAATGGACACAGCAAAGGCTAATTCCAGGATCTAGAACAAAGCAAAAAAAAAATCTCGTGAAATTTTAATCAATAATACAAAAAGTAGATTTTGATTCTTTAAAACAGTTTAACAGTCAAGTATGATGAAGAAAGACTCTAAAATTGTCTTCAGTTGTGGGCGATTTCCATGGAATGTCAAGAAAGATCATAAACAATTACTATTAATACATTCCATAAAGAAGTAAAAGCTCTTCTGATTAATCCAAAAATCACTTGATTTTTTATTAAAAAATAGAAAAGAAAGAAATGAACAGCAAAAAAGGTATTCCTCTAAATATTTTTTGTTAAGGTATTCAACCCCTAAGGGGATCCAAATCTCTATCTTTGAATATCCATCATATATTAAATATTGTGATATTAATTTAGAGCATTTTAGAGTAGAACTAGATTTACAGAGAAAAATTTTTCAATTATTTCATTACCTTGCAGTAGTTAATCAATGAAGATTGCACTGAGGTTTATGTGAACAGGAAAATAAAAATTCTAACACTAAGAATACCAATAAATGCAGTGGTGGAAAGATGTATTTAATCCTTAGAAATAGAAAAACAATTAAAATAATTTTTAAACAAGATAACATTTTTTAAAATTTATTTTTACTGATAAAAACCAAAGAAAGATAAATATGAGTTATGTCTAAATATACATATACTTAGTATTCAACTCTTACATATGTGTTATATTTTTAATTTCATTCGATCTGAAGTGAATAGAGATGGAATACCTTAAAAACAATAAATAAAGAACAAACTCTAAATTGGCTTTTGTTTTTACATTCTTATATTTGTTTGTACTGAAGAACACTATCGTAGGAAGTGGATTGCTGTCAGTTGATTTTTTTTTGCTATGTCGTACGTACATGTACGAAATAATAAGTCGTACGAACGAGATTCTAAGTCGTATGTACGAGATTATAACTCCTTATTACGAGAAAATATGTCGTACCTACGAGATACTAGTTGTACGTACGTAGAAACTAAGTCGTAATAACGAGATAAAAAGTCTTAACAGTGAGATAAAAAGTCGTTTTAACGAGATACTTAGGCGTAATAACGATATAATAAGTTGTAATAACGAGATAATATGTCGTAAGAACGACATAAAAAGTTGTTATAACGACTACGTATACGTCCTAAATGATTAATCGTAATAACGAGAATACCCCTACAGATACAACACACATAATGAAAAAGATGTTTCAAGTTTGGATTCTTTCATTTACATGTACATTTTTGAGAGGATATTTAACCCTCCCCCTCGTCAAATTTCCTGGGAATTTTTGGAGAGGGGTTGGGTGAGTGGTGGTGTAAAACTCCGCTTAAAAAATCCGGCTCAGAAATTCTTTGACGAGAAAAAGGATAAATACATGTATAATATTTTAAATATTATGTATAAAAACGAAAGATTATAAATGTGAATAATCTATCCGTGGTTTATGTGTGTAAGCGGAGAATAAGGGGGATAATCTCGTTATAACGTTTTATTTCATCGTAATTACGACATATGATCTCGTAAGTGGGACTTAGTTTCTGGTTATATCGACTTAGCATACATGTATCTTTTTACGTCTTTGTATTCGTTCATACGACTTAACATATCGAAATTACGATTTATCTCGTTATTACGTCTTATTATCTCTTAATTTCGAATTAGAGTATGTCGTTATTACCACTTATTATCTCGTTATTACGACTTAGTTTATGTCGTTATATTACTTATTATCTCGATCGTTCTTGCGACTTATTATCTCGTTATTACCATATAATATCTCGTAATTACCACTTATTGTGGGGTACGTACAACTTTGTATCTCCTACGACATACTATCTCGTTATTTTGACTTATTATGTTGTACTTACGACTTACTGTATCTATTACTTACAACATATTATCTCGTAATTACGACTTGTTATCTCGTACGTACGACATGGTATGTCGTTCATGCGACTTAGTATTTCGTAAGTATGACATGTCAAAATATATTTTCAACTGACAGCAATTCGCTTCCGTATTGGAAAAATAAAAAGGAAATATATGCCATTTATGCACTATTTTGCAACCCGTAACATTAAAAATTGTAATTGTAAAAAAAAAATGTTTGTTGATTATTTATTACATTAAGAATAAGTGTGTATATTCATTAAAACCCTTAACGAAAAAAATGCTTAATCGAAACATAAGCGATAATGGGGACTTACAAATTATTTTGATAATAAGGGGTTATAAAAATCTACGTTGCATTTATATTATTTGATGATGAGGGCCTAAATAAAACGTAATAATAGTCTACACTGTTTCAGCTAAAACAAACCAGAATGAAAAATATGCGCTTAATGTATATCATACAAATTAACCATGCAACCAAAATACCAGTCCGTAAGCAAAGTGTATTGCTACTGCAAGTCAATTTATTTGAAGGGCTGTCCATTTTCACATTACAAGAGTTGTCTATGTTGTATATTGTTGCAGTTGTGGGTAGTGGAAAAAATTAAAATGTTCAACGAATGATACACAGCATCAGCAGGCAGGAAAGATAAAGTACCAGAGTGACACAAAATACAAACAAATAAGATTTATATACAGCATTTAACCTCATTTGAAAATGGATACACATTAAAAGTAATGCCAAATGTTGATTTACTACTCTATTATAATACCATATTGAATCCAGTCAGTACACAAAATATTCCAAACTGTTTTCTGTAATTTGGCATCGTCTTCTCATTGACAAATCTGTATAGAAAATAGTTTTAAATAAAAGTACTACGATACAGATATCAAATCAATCGATTATTTCAGCAAATCATTCTTTTTTTTTCAATTCGTTTCTAGCGTACTGTAAATGCATTATATTTTGGTCAGAAACTCTATTTAGTGTCTTTTGAGGAAAGCTACTTCCGCTAAATCAAGTACATCAGTAAATGTCTTGTGAAAACATACTCTTATAAAGCACATTCACATTGTTCAAAAATCAATTTCGCCAAATATTGTATGCGCCAAAAAAATCATTTACAGTGAGTGTTTAAGTATGAAAAAGTACAAATGTTGTTTATTACCTGTTATTTGTTATTTCAAACCACATACTCTTGAAAAGCTCAACAACTCCTTTAAAAACACCTAGGTGCCCATCAGACGATCGTTTATAGTAAATATATCCTAAAATGGTGCATACAACCTGATGGCCATTAAAAAAATTGAATAGGTTTAAAAAGTATATACAGAACAATTGTCAGATAATCTTAACTCTTAATAGATAAACATCTTCACTTCCTTTTTTCTACCTGCATCGTAATTAACAATAGCGTGAATCCTAGCATTAACCAGGCCTCCGTTTCGGCGGCGTCAACAACATTTGGATTTTTTCTGTCACAGAACTACAATGTAATTTGTTGCATTGATATAAACTACAATTTATTTGCTTAAAAGCTAGATTAAATACCGTTTATCCGGATATATGGTAGTTGTGAAATAATGTTCAAAAGTGTTTCACAAAAGTACTTTCCATCAATAAAATAATAAGTTTTATTTCTTTATACTCACCAAATCACTAGCATTTCGATTCGTAGAAGTGAATAATCCATCAACATATACAATTTCTTCATAGGTAAAATGACAACTTTCCCTAGTGGCAATGCAGCAGACAACCTATTAATATCAAAAAACAAACAAAGACACAAAGACACAAAAAGCTAGAAATAAAAATAAACAAAAACAAAATAACAACAAAAAACCCCCCCAAACAAACAAAGAAACAAAGCAAAAACAACAGACAAAGAAACAAAGCAAATAAAATCTAAGAAATGTCTCCTCATATATCTTTTAATTTTTTAGAGGGGGGGGGGGGGCTTTTGATGAGCTCTAATTAGTGCATGTCCAGTTGACAAAATAACAACTTATCTTAGTGCCTTTAAAATAGACAAAGGTTGATCATTTTGAATAACATTATCATTGAATGTTTATTTCAAAAATATTGTCACCCGGCCCGTTTTAAAGTTTTAGAATTGAAGAAAAATCACTGCAAAATGCATTACATTAATGACTGTATGCTGAACAAACAAAGCTACATATTCCAAAATATATTGATATTAAAAATAACGTTAGAGGGTGAACAAATATTATATTTTAAAAAAAATAAGTTTGCAGGCACACGTATTCTCTCAGGTTTAGCGACCTATTATACATTAAGAAAATTCATTTTCTGATTGTTTGGTAGCTAAACGTCTTAGTATATAGTTACATGTAAAGTATATCATTGAAACAGCAAGATTCCAGTTCCTCAAGGCCAGGACTGTTACCTGAGGCGAAGCTGAGGAACATATTCAGGTCGAGGGGTACTGAATTAATTCTAACTCCCTCAATGATATACTTTTTAACTGTTTTAATATATCAATAGAAATTTCGAAGCAGAGATAATCTCACTAGACTAATGAACGGCAAAACAGGGATAAGTCCATTCACATCGATTTCTAGAGAATTATTCACATGAAATATATGGAGATAACGAACAGTATTCAAGCTCAAAAGTCCATCTATTGCTTTAATTTCTTCACAGAAAATCAGAAGAAGTGTTATAATATAATTTATCATACTTACCAGCTTTACCTGAACAGATATTAATCCAAGAACCGCAATTAATAGAGCAACAACAACAGCTTCTTTCCACAATATCTAACGAAAAGCAATTAATCTATTTCTATTTACACATTCGAAATATTTCAAGTAATTGACTAATGAAAGCGTAAGGATGTAAACATTGATATTTAATCTATGGTCTTTTTGTATCAAAGAGCAAAATAATACGTAATTATGAATTAATTTGTTATTTGCACGTGTCAAAGATTAAGGATTCAAATAAAGAAGCAAGCAGATTACTACTTTTTTAAATAAAAAAATGAGAATTGAGAATTTACCAGCAATGTAGCCTTCGGCTTTTGCAAACCAAGAGAAATGAATTTTCCAACTTGTAGAAAAAAGGAGAAGCCGGCCACAGCTAGCGTCATAAGAATGATGTTGTCTCGATTAGTGGACATGTTTAAAGGTCCGTGAGAAATAGCAGCCAGAATATTTCTCAAAAGTTTGTAAGAAGAATAACCGTATCGTATAACTAAAAGTCCGCAAAACATTATCACATCCACTACCTGGAAAGGGGAAAAAAAAACTTATTTTCTTCAGAGAATATCTTAGATCATTAAGAGATATTTCATACGCCGAAATATATAATACTTGCAGTTATAAGAATTGAAAGCCCGATAATGGTAGCAATCAAGGGATGCCTATAAAATAATATTAAAAAAAAACTTTCTTTAGGCAATTCAATGATAAAATCCAATATCCAATATTTATTATATATATATATATATATATATATATATATATATATATATATATATATATATATATATATATATATATATATATATATATATATATATATATAAAGCACTATAAACCAACAACACTGTATATCCAAAGTGTCGGATCTACTAAGTAGATACAAGGTCACGGATGGAAATTTATATAAAGCACTAAAAATGACCAACGACACGAACAATAATAATTGTCAAATTTTCGGGACGACCTGTCCCTTCCTCAGGACAAAGAAAAAAAAAGTTAAGAGGTCATAAAAACAAAGGAAATAGAGGAACAAAAACAACTAGCACTACTACTAAACTACCAAACACTAAATATTTACAGTGTTACATGTTTAATTTGAAGTTTATAAACAGTTGTGAACAAAAAATTCCGGAGCGCTACGAATTGCGTCCGGTCTATCGGGTGTTATTATGGTTATTGACCATAATCCGAATTGGACCGATGCTCAGAGAAAAAGCAAGGAAAAGTTCTGGATGCACAGACTGAAGTCATTCCGCCCTAATGGTATCAACAAACTAAATGACTTCACCAGGATGAATGTGAACTAGACCCAATTCCTGATTGTAACAAACAAGTTTATTCTCTCTATATAGTGTTAACTTTACCGTTAATTCGCATTATCAATTCTGGAACAACCCACGCATAGATTTTTTGCTTACACTTTTGTCTATTATTTCTTTTATCCGATAAACAGTTCTAAAACATTTCCAAATGACATTTATAATACATCTAAATTATCTTTCTTTGGTTTCTTTTGGTTTCTTTTTATCATGTAAGGTTAAGCTATTTTGAGAGAATGAGACAATGTACGATTTACTGCTTGGCCGTAATTAATTAGCGATAGATAATTCGTTCAATTATGTAAATCGCACTTCACCAGAGTACACCCGAAAGACCGGACGTATTTCATAGCGGTCCGGATTTATTTCTTTACAACTGATTATAAAACTCAAATTCAACATGTAACATTGTAAATAAATAGTGTTTGGTAGTTTAGTAGTAGTGCTATCCGTTTTTGTTTTTCTATTTTCTTTGTTTTATGACTTCTTAACTTTTTCTTTGTCCTGAGGAAATTTGACAATTTCTATTGTTCGTGTCGTTGGTCATTTTTAGTGCTTTATATATATATATATATATATATATATATATATATATATATATATATATATATATATATATATATATATATATATATATATATACTTAAATGAATAAAAACAGAATGCTACTGTCCAAATTAAATAAAATCTTTACTGTTAGCGCTTTCTGCCATGTTGGCTCTTCAGACAGTTATGAAAAGTTCTAAACGTTGTCAATAAACTTTTTCAACGCAGTTAAAATACAATGTATAATTAAATCATAGAAATGGTATAAAATCTGTTAATACATAATCAATAGTTTTATATTCAACAGTCTTATAAAATAGTCCTCTTTGGTAATACGGGCGATTTCATCCGATGTCCACATTTATAAGAATATATCTATCTATCTATCTATCTATCTATCTATCTATCTATCTATCTATCTATATATATATATATATATATATATATATATATATATATATATATATATATATATATATATATATATAAAATTAAATTTGGTTGTAACTCGTCACATGATTGGATAAAAAATAGTTTATACCATATAACCTGTGTTGCCTACGTCACAATGACTTCCGTCAAAAGCATATCAATCCGCTCGACGTTACAATTAAAATATGCATTTTTGAAAGATAAATTGTCTTATTTTCTTCGCTTAATGATTTAAAATTAAATTATAAGGATTGAATTGAATATCTACCCAAGTTATTCTGGTATAACCTGTGTTGGAACAGTTTACGCTTTGATATATATATATACATATATATATAAAGATCTCTTAATTCAGACAACATTGAGATGCTTTAATATCATTATGACTTTCCAGGCCTTGCTAAATTTATTATCAACACAACCTCAGGATGCTTTCACATGTTTCATCTCATCTGGTCCAGTTCTTGAGAAGAAGATTTTTAAAGATTTTTTTCCTATATATTTCAATGTAATATTCTGATCTCCAGTTTTGACCTTACCCTACCTCTGGGGGCCATAATGTGTATCATTTAGAATTAATAGTTCCTTAGAAAGCTTGCATTTTAGTTTGATCTTTTCTGGTTCTGGGGTTCTTGAGAGGAGGGTTTTGAAAGAATTTTCCTATTCAATTCAATTTAAAACTTTGATCCCCTATTGCGTCTCCAACTAACTTTCGGGGACCATGATTTGAATAATTAAGGATCTACACTACCTCAGGATGCTTTCACGTAAGTTTCGTCTCTTCTGGCCAAGTTGTTCTTGAGAAAAAAATTCTTTAAAAAGAATTTTTTCTATATATTTCAATGTAAAACTTTGATCCCTTATTGTAAAAAGGAAGAGGGCTTAAAGCGATTATAGATTCATGCATATGTGTATATGAATTTATTTTAAAAGGCAGAGAGTAGATGTCGTTGGGGTGTTTTAATTCTTACCTTTTCATTGAGGCAAATATTGTAAGGAAAAAGCCAGAGTTCTCCATTGGTACGTCACCTTTTTTCATTTCAATTTTAGACAGGGAATGCTTGTAAACACGATCCGCCATTCCAACTGTAAAGATCTAAAAATTAAAAAGAAAAAGTTAGTACATTTTATGATATCTACTGCAAAGTTATTATGAATTTTACCTTTAAAAGAATATGGAAGATAAGTATTCCAGTCAAACACCAGATAAACCGTGCAGCATTGCTCCAGCTTGTGGTGCACATCTGTCAATTAAATATTAAAATCAGTTTTATATCACATTACAACATTGGGTCCGTCTCCCTGAAAACATTTTTTTAGCAAGCCCCCCCCCCCCCCCCAAAAAAAAAACAATAAAAAAACGTGTTTGCAAATTGAGATGGTTTCAATATGTTAGATGTATTTTGACCCTCGACTAGCTTTCTTAACTTATAGCATTTTTGTCTGTTATTCTTTCAGTTAAAATTTTATAGTAAATTTGTCCTTTTCCATCATGAAACTTACACCTAATATTTTAATCTTACCGGAATGGGTGTGGTATCTCCATAGGAGAACTGACAGGTATCAATATTATTCCAGAAACAGCAATATAACTGAAAGAAAACTAGCAGAGTATTGGAAAGTGATCAATTATAAAAGTTATCTTACAGGGATTTTAAAAGACAATAAAAGCAGTAATGATAAGGATATAAGTACAGCTCGAGTATTGGAAAGTGATCAGTTATAAGGGTTATCTATCAGGGTTTACGTCAGTTAAAGCAGTAACTATATGGATATACGTACAGCTCTCAGAAGATATGATGAAAAAATTAAAATGACGCACTCAGCTGTCAGTAAGAGGAGATCTGTAATCATATTCTGTAATAAATAAACCTTATTATAGCAAAAATAAAGAAGTTAGAGTAATATATTCATAAAATTTGGAAATTTCGCTTGGTAGGATGCAAACATAAAACATACATGTATAATGATATATAGTGATGAAGAGTATCTAGAATGCATACTATCACAAACAAACACTTCCTTTTGGAATATATTCCAATAAGACACAAAGTTTTGGCAATGATTGACCAGACGAGGAGGCAAATGGCCGTTATCAGAAGAGCATCTTTAAGATAGCCCATGTTAATGTGGTATTCCCTGGTTACTCTATAGAGTTCTGTTGTCATTGTTAAGTCGTAATGGTTGTATCTGATGAATATTATGGCCAGGATCATTCCACCCTCCAATATCTGAGAATTCGAAAAAGATCTCCATTATTCATTCTTTGTTTCAGACAACCTGAACTTTTTACAGAAGTCAAAATTAGGAATATTTGAAATACAAATTTATATGAATGAGTGATACAAACCATTGATAGGAAAGTTAGAAATCCAAAATAAGATGTTAGTTTACTTCTGAAAAGGAACACAGAATCAGTTGTTTAATCAAGAGTTTGTCTTTTGTGCATTATAAAATTAGCATGTTCTAGGTGTAAAGATAAATAGGCAACGAATTTGCCCTTGTGTATTGCAGAATTTGACATTCTTTACATTACACACCTCACTTTAACTAGACGGTAAAGATTAGCACAAATTCCATTTTTTATTTTGTGCATTTCCGATTTTTCAATAGCATTCCCCGGGCAGCGATCGTTCTTCCCATGTGATTTGGCAATTTGGAATCTGTGTAGATATTCTGTTCCAACGATCATGATTACCTATAAGTAAATAAATAACAGGGGAATGAAAAAATACAAGCGTTTTTATGTTAAATGAAGAGGGATAAAAATACCCACAAGAATGAAAGATAGTTTTATTATAAAGACACAACTGCCTTCCTTTTTCGATGCTATACTAATAAACATACAAGCGGTTATACAGACATTCTAGAATGGTGGCTTAATGAGTTTTGAAAAGAATAGTATCTTTGACTGCATTTTTTATGGAATAAACGTAAAATTGCAAAACAAAGATAAAGACTCTGGAAATAGTTTTACTGACATCATTTTATATCATTTTTTTCTTTACTCAAAAACTCTCATAATTTAAAATTAATTGTAATTGTTTTAAATAAAACTTACTGACACAATGATGTTAGTGACAAGGACAGCAATGTAAGAACTGCCATAGGTATTTATAGTGTCTGCAATGTAGGAAGCGCAATCGATGTTGTATAAGTACGAGCACAACAAGGGAGAAAACGTATCAAATCCACAACAGTGCATCTGAAATAAAAAGAGAAAAAAGAAAGAATAAAACATGACAAAAAGTTTCAAATCTTAATGTTTTCCATATATTCATAAGAAATAGAAAAGAAAATAATAGATATTATTTTTAGTCTAATTTATAGTCTTTATATAATCTATCCAAGAAAAAAAAACGGTTTATAAAATTACTTATTCACCGGATTTGAGGTCGTATTCACATGAGTGTGCAACGGCGATTGTTATGCCACAAACGACATCTTAAACATCATTATAAAATTTGGCTGGAAAGGTGGAGCCAGCTGTGTTTTTGAGTAGGAAAAACGTTTTTTAAGCGTATATCGCTGGGTTATTATATAAACATTACGACGGGATTTGATGTCCTACACTAGTTATGAAAGGAAAACATGGAAGTTATAAAAAGTACTCTCGACATTTTTAGCTAAACTCTACGATTTTGAGATGAGCTTATGTTATAGCCCCAATATTGGCGTCTCGGTTAAAGTTTTAGGAGAGGGTCTCATTCCCAAGTACCATAAGCCCTAGCTGGACGAAATTTGCCTATATCGTGCATCATTGAACTTGCTTCCGATGTAGGATCTAACCTGTACATTTCCTCTATGAATGACCAGATTAAAGTTTTAAGAGCACTGGTTAGAGTTTTTGGAGCAGGTTAAAGTTTAGGAGCAGGTTTCATGTCAATGTCACGGTAAGCCCTATGTTGACTTATCTTGCATCGATAATGCGTATAGGGATTTATATTACCAGATGGATTCAGATGTGTGATCTGACCTACATTTTCCAGATAAGTGAACCGATTAAAGTTTTTGGATCAGGTTCATCCATCAAGTTACTATATGCTGCATGGTCACCAAACTTTCATTGATGATGCATATAGGGATCCATACAACCAGACTGGCTTCAATGCTGGATCTGACCTACATTTTCCAGATGAGTGATCAGGAAAGTTTAAGAGCAGGTTTATTCCCAAATAACTAAGCATTACCTGGGCCAAACTTGCTTGGATCATGCATCTAGGAATGCAAACTACCTGTCTTGCTTCAAATGCTGGATAAATTGACGTTCATGTTTTGGATGAGTGAACAGGGTAAAACCTACCTAAACTAAACTTGCATCGATGATTCATATAGAAATGCACATTTCCAGACTGGTTGTGGATTCTGAACCTGACTTGGATGAGAGACTAGGTTAAAGTTTTCGGAGCAGGTTCATCCCCAAGTAACTATAAACATACAGTGACCAAACTTGCATTGATGATGCATCTTGGGATGCAAACTACTAGAATGGCTTTAGATGCTCTATCTGACCAACAATTTCTGAAGGTGTGAACAGGTTAAAAGTTTTGGAGTAGGTTCATTCCAAAAGAACAGTAAGCCTCCTGGACCTATGTTGTATGGTTGATGCATCTAAGGATGCATACTACCAGGCTAGCAACAGATGCTGGATATATTGGCCTATATTTTCCGGATGAGTACACAGGTTAAAACCCTACCTAGATTTAACTTGGATGGTTGGTGCATCTAGGAATGAACACTACAAGATTATTCCCCTGAGCCACTCTCTGCTTTTTTTTAATTTTTCAACCCCAGCAACATAGGAGAAACTGAAAAGTCTAACATACGAGAATTACAGGCATGGTTATGTTTTTCCTTGCCACAAAACTTACGTGAATCACACTTAACAGTTAAAGTGTATTCCAATATAACTTAGTATATTTATTGTTATCAATACATATAATTTATATTATAATTACGTAACACACTCAATGCATTTACAATTATTTTGAAACTTACAGCTGAATGAAACAAGTTATTATCTTCATTGTACCTCTGGCGTAGTGTTGCAAGGATTCTGGAATAAAGCTACAAAAAGAGTTTTGATTTTTTAAAAAAATAATTAATTTATATCATACGGGGCCGCTTGAGGACCAAGTAAAATATATTTATTTGTTTGGACGAAATAAATAATTGTTCAGTCGAATAAGGTATTTGTTCTGACAAATTAGAAATTTGTTTCGATATTAGATATTTGTTCGGACGAACTAGAAACTTGTGCGGACGAATTAGATGTTTGTATGAATTAGATATTTGTTTCAAAAATTAGAAATTCGTTCGATCAAAGAGCCTGGGCCACGAACCATCAAAATGTGCCTCAAATTTTAAGCAAAATTCAAGTCCGAAATCACAAACCCAGTCACATGCAATATTGTGCAGAATGACATACTGCTCTTATTACAAGATACATTATTTTGCCACACAGACCACCGTCTTTAGTACATGCTCAGCATCAAATATACCAATGAAGTTATAAACTCCTTAAAAAATTGCTTTTACGGTAGTTATTTCAAAATTTGAATGTAGGAACACTAAAGAACCCATTCCAAACTTTGCAGACAGAAAAATATTACATATATTCGTCCTTACGCAAAATACTAGTAAAAGTGATTATTTACACTGGTTGTTAAGTACGCGTTTGTGACTGTCAAACATTACGCGTGGGTGTAATATACGCGGTCGCACGAGTAAAATAGAAGTTGAAGCAATGCCCTCCATTTTAACAATATGCATGAGCTCATTATATATGTAAATAGCCGATATATAATAACTACATAAAACCTAATATGCCAATTATTTCGCTCTACCAAGCCTCTTTCTTTACTTCTCACTAAAATATCAACAGTAGTGACGGAGAAACTTCAGGAGTACTGTGCAACAATATATTTGAGAAATGGTGTAAATCAGATGTGGATACTTAAAAATCCCAAAGAAGTTTTGGAAAATTTAAAATCACAAAATTATATCAAAATCATTAACATCAAAACTAACGACTTTTCAACTCTGTACACACCCATTCCCAACAATAAATTAAAGTCCAGGATTTTTGACATCATTGACAGACGTTTTATTTCAATAAAAATGGAACTCGTAAATTTACTTACCTTGTCATTGGTCATTTGCAAAATTATTTTGCTAAAAAAAAACATTCTGATTGTACATAAAAGTACTCTGAAGTTGATATTAAAAAGATGCTTGAGTTTCTGATTGGCAATATCTATGTGGTTTTCTGAGACCAGGTCTTCCAACATTATGTTGGAATTTCCATGGGTACCAATTGCGCCCCGTTGTTAGCAGACCTATTTTTAGCTCACCTGAGCTGAAAGCTCAAGTGAGCTTTTCCGATCACCCGTTGTCCGTCGTCCGTCCGTCTGTCCGTCCGTCTGTAAACTTTTCACATTTTCAACTTCTTCTCAAGAACCACTGGGCCAATTTTAACTAAACTTGGTACAAAGTATTCTTGGATGAAGGGGAGTGTAAATTGTTAAAATAAAGGGCCAAGTTCTCTTACAAGGGAAGATAATCAAGAAAAGACAAAAATAGGGTGGGGTCATTAAAAAATCTTCTCAAGATCCACTGGGCCAGAAAAGCTGAAACTTAGGTGGTAGCATCTTGGGATAGTGTAAATTCTAAATTGTTCAAATCATGACCCCCGGGGGTAGGGCGGGGCCACAATAGGGAATCCATCTTTTACATTGAAATATATAAGAAAAATCTTTTAAAATCTTCTTCTCAAGAACCACTGGGCCAGAAAAGCTGAAACTTATATGGAAGTATCCTGGGGTAGTGTAGATTCTAAATTGTTCAAATCATGACCCCCGGGGGTAGGGCGGGGCCACAATAGGGAATCCAAGTTTTACATTGAAATATATAAGAAAAATCTTTAAAAATCTTCTTCTCAAGAACCACTGCGCCAGAAAAGCTGAAACTTAGGTGTTGGCATCCTGGGATAGTGTAGATTCTAAATTGTTCAAATCATGACCCCCGGGGGTAGGGCGGGGCCACAATAGGGAATCCAAATTTTACATTGACATATATAAGAAAAATCTTTAAAAATCTTCTTCTCAAGAACCACTGCGCCAGAAAAGCTGAAACTTATATGGAAGCATCCTGGGTAGTGTAGAATCTAAATTGTTCAAATCATGACCCCCGGGGGTAGGTCGGGGCCACAATAGGGAATCCAAGTTTTACATTGAAATATATAGGAAAAATCTTAGAAAATCTTCTTCTCAAGAACCACTTGGCCAGAAATACTGAAACTTATATGGAAGTATCCTGGGGTAGGGTAGAATCTAAATTATTCAAATCATGACCCCCGGGGGTAGGTCGGGGTCACAATAGGGAATCCAAGTTTTACATTGAAATATATAGGAAAAATGTTTAAAAATCTTCTTCTCAAGAACCACTGGGCCAGAAAAGCTGAAACTTAGGTGGTGGCATCCTGGGATAGTGTAGATTCTAAATTGTTCAAATCATGACCCCCGGGGGTAGGGCGGGGCCACAATAGGGAATCCAAGTTTTACATTGACATATATAAGAAAAATCTTTAAAAATCTTCTTCTCAAGAACCACTGGGCCAGAAAAGCTGAAACTTATATGGAAGCATCCTGGGATAGTGTAGAATCTAAATTGTTCAAATCATAACCCCCGGGGGTAGGTCGGGGCCACAATAGGGAATCCAAGTTTTACATTGAAATATATAGGAAAAATCTTAGAAAATCTTCTTCTCAAGAACCACTTGGCCACCATGTGGCTGTTCCGACCAATGACAAGCACACGTTGAAACAAATATATGGCACTGACGTTGATTCCAATTTTTCTGAAGGTACCAAAATACTGCTATATTATAAGGTGTCTATTAGGTCAAAAGTTGCCACTCTGAAGGTACATGTACATTATATTATTCCGAATGCCCACCAGTACAAAGGTCCACCTCCACAAAGATTATTGTGTAAATCAAATGCAATTTGTCTAAACCAGGATACAGCTGGTGTTAAAATTATTAGCTTCTTTTTTCCAGATTATGTAGTGTGCAAACAGCCTATTTATTTTATGAATTTTTGGAACGCTTGTATTGGCTCCAAATGAATAAACATACTGCTCGGAAAACAGGGTATAGTCCCCTGCCCCGCAGTCAGAAATTTTCATGGTGTGGTACTTCTGGTTTGTTACAACTTCTGTGAAAAAAAGAAAAGGTACCATCTCCAATTTACGCGATCCATCCCTCAAGTGACTACAGTAAATTTAACATCGGGCTCGGAAACAATGAAGTCCCCTTCCCCGGGTCTAAAACTTTCAAGGTCTAAAACTTTCAGTCAGAATATATTTGGAAGCCCCCCCCCCCCCCAACACTTTTGGTCAGTTTAGGTTTTTTTATTTTTATTTTTTTTTTTTATGATTATTATTAATTTTTTTGTTATTGTTTTTTTGCTTGTCAGATTAGGAAGTTTCAGGGTGGGGTATTAGCACATTCGATCTTTTGTTTTCATACTGGTACTTCCACAAGAAGTATGTTGTAATGACGCTATAAAAGAGGGGGTGGGAGGACGGGGGTAAGTCAAAAAACCATCTCCTGCAAAATATACCTTAGATCTACAAAAATCTTTGTAATCAGCATGATTCAGGCCCGCAGAATGCGGGGGGGGGGGGGGTCACGGGGGCCGGTCCCCCACTTTTTCTGAGTAAATTATTTTACTAAAGTAAACTTCCTTTAGATGCTGGTTGGCTCCCCACTTTTTGTTGTTGTAAAGTAGAACACTGGCAAAGTCCAGAATTTGGACAATTAATTTCCTTTTAAAATGCCAGATTATATTGTGAAGTTGCCCCTCCCCCACTTTTGGTCAGTTTGGTGTTTTTAGTTTTATTTTTTATTTTATTATCATTATTTTTTTGCTTGTCAGATTTTTTAGGAAGTTGCTCCCCTTCCCAACTTTTAAAACCGTTGATACGGGTCTGTGATTGTGTGCAAACAAGGGCACCGCAAAGTGTCCAGTATCCCCTCGCAAAAGAGCATATCGATCCTGATATGGATTATCGAAAGGTTATGATTGAATGCATGTGCCATACATTGCATATATTATAGTTTACCTACAACTTTTAAATAAGCCATTCTGCAGTGAACAAAAACGAAGGTGACAAACATCTCTGTCTTCAATATGAGTGTTTCATAATTTTGCTTGTCGGATGGTCTGTCTATGTTGATTTTCAATATTTTGTTATTGATTACAGACAGAAAAACCAAATCTTCATTGTCCAATGTATTTATTAATTTTTCTGTGCTTTAATTTAAGCAATAAGGCATAAAACATAGGCACTCCCCAGCTTGATTGTTAAAAATATATTTCTACTTTACTCTAAACATAACAAGGCATGGAATTAGCCTCCATGTTGGATTCCGCTTAGGGACACTGTTTGACAAATAGCAAGAATATCTCTCATAAGTCGGGCTTTTCTCACACATCGGAAGCTGTCGTTTATTGAAATAGAATCAAATTAGATCAAATCTTTTCAAACACTTCTCTGCAAACCAGGTCTCCTCGGCTGGAACTTACGGGTTTATGGGGCTATAGACAATTCTATTATTAATTTATTTGCAAATAATAAGAATATTTTGTTTGTCAACGCCTGCATACAAATCGTGCATTAATCGAGATGTGTTGTCACCCATTGTCTTTTACTAATTCGTCCGAACGAAACACTTACTTGTTCGGAAAAAATTAGTTATTTGTTTGAACAAACATTAATTTTTCCGAACGAATAAACTATTAATTCGAACGAAAAAATAGTTGTCCGATCGAGTAAATTCTTTGTTTAAAAAAAGAACTTTATTTGTCCGAATTAAGAATATTTGTTTACTTTCATTTTGTAAAACTAAATGGTTAGGCCGCAGAGAGAGAGAGAGAGAGAGAGAGATTGTAGTCGCAAGGGAGGGACAATGGTAGTAGTTTGTAGCAATATGAAGGGCAAGTTTGTTTAAATTAAAAACAATTTATGAAGAATTGTTATTGGTAAAAAACAACTTTTGTTTAATTGTTCCTGACTTGTTTACAAACGAATAGGGTAGGGGGTTATTGATTGCAATTTTACGCAAGTTTTATGTCTTATTAAAAGTTTCTTGAAAACTCACAATCGTAATTCAAAATGAAAAGATTCTTTGGTTGTGAGGGAGAGCTGAAACTAACTGCAGATCTGTTCTGCAAAAAAATTGGGATGGACGACCAGAGAACTACAATGCCACCCATTAAAAGATAGTGTACGTATATTTATTGCGCAAAAAGTGCGCTGATTCTCGATTCATTTCTCCGTATATTTAAACTGCCATCTCAGAATATTACATAATTAATTTTTCAGAACAAATATTTATTTTGTACAAACAAATATCTGATCTCACCGAAAGAATATTTAATTAGTCCGAACAAATATCTTGTCCATCCGAACAAATATCTAATTTTTCCAGCGAATATAATTTCGTCCAAAAATAATTAAATCGTCCGAACGAATTTCTAATTTGTTCAAGCGAATATCTAAATCGTCTGAACAAATATCTAATTTGTCCAAACAAATTGTTCATTGTCCGAATGAATCTTTCATTTGTCCGAACAAATACATGTATTTAATTCGTCCGAACAAATATTTAGTTTGTCCGAACAAATATCATATTTTTCCAAACAAATATCTTATTTGTTCAAACACATATCTAATTCCTTCAAAAGGAATTTTATTTGTCTAAACGAATATCTCATTCGTCTAAACAAGTTCTCATTCTTCGGAATGATTTTTTTTTTTAGAAATGATAGGGTCGTAAAATCAAATTTCTTTAAAAAGCTTAAAAATTGGTGTTTCAGATGTTTGATATGAAATAAATAAAATTGCAAGATCATATTATGAATCCTTAACTTCTGAAGAAGAAATAGTAGCTAAAATTTCAGTTTACATAAAGAAAAGATCATATTTAAAATTAGACTTTATTTCATAAGAAGAGTATAAACAAACATACCTCCTCAAGCATCCAGGACTGTAGGGCAATTGCAATTATGTTAAAAATCACCATAACAATGTTTATGACGGCACTCTAGAAACAAAATATACGTTCAAATGATGTGAATGCTTCAAATATTTACTGAATTCGTAAACTTCTGTAAAAAGTCTGATATAATAAGCATTTCTCTGTCATGTACAAATATGACACACATGTAAAGACAGCACTAGCATTTTCATAATTCTTGTACCTCAGTTTAGGAGATATATAGGGTCATTGATATTAAATAAACATTGCAGAGTAAATTAAAAGAAAAAAAAACCCTATGTATACATCGGGAAAAACTTCTAGATGTTTTGATTGAACACGAGAGAGAGAGAGAGAGAGAGAGAGAGATATGAAACAATGCCATCCAGTTAATTAAAAGATCGATGACTAGAATTTTACTTAAAGGTGTCTTGTGGGAGGACTCTGCCATTCAGATACTTTCCAGACCTTTCAGTTGAAAAAAAAATGGCACAGTCTCATTATGTGAAGAGAGAGAGAGAGAGAGAGAGAGAGATCCCTGTCACTTATAACACGTAGATCGGAGAGATGATCTATAATTCAATGCATTTTGTAACAAATATCTTGTTTACTAATTGTATACTTACTGCAATCAAACATCTTTTACTTTGTTTACAAATTCCATAGAATGTAACAGCAGCATTAACAGCGTGCACGATAATGGTCGGAATCAAAGACAGGAACAGGGCGTTGAGGAATGATCCAACAGGCAGGGATCCTATAGACACTTTATTAAGCACATCAATGCTGGCGGCACTAAGGAGTTTTTCGTGGTATTTTAAAACAAACCCTCCGACAACATAACCAATAGACAGCACCTACATTTCCAGAAAACAAAAATGTCAAAATCGAAGGAAAAAATAAGCAGTATTGGGTGTGAATATAACACACTACTTTACTGATAAAACTAAATGTGCCATATAATGTTTGTGGCGCCAACATTCAAGGTTACAATTTTTCACCGTTGTGTTGTTATTCACTAAATCAGATTCCAGGGGTTCCTGTTCATAATTCGTATTGTTTACAAGATTTCTGCGATTGTTCACTGTTCTTTTTCTTCGCCTTTTTCTACAAAGGAGCGACTAGAATGCTCTGTTAGTTTATTTACATGTGTATAATATTCTATCCCGCATCTGACAAATATTTATTAGCTAAATAAGATCACACGACGCCCTGAAATTTTCTAATACGTCGTTTCCGAGTTATGGTTGTATTAAAAATTGGGCACAAGATTCTGTTCTACGTGTTTCTGTAAACAAAAAGCGGCAAGCAAACGGTTTGACTGATGAAATTTATTTTAACACTTGTATGCATATATCTTTAACTGTGACGATGTTATACTGAGATTATATGATGCTTAATGATATTTTGAATTATATTTCTTTTAATATGTTACATGTACTGACCCGAAACAAATCTTTCATAAGTCTTTAGCGGGATAAATTTGTTAAACAGTTAGTTTGTGACCTTGTTTGTCACTGAGGGTGAGAAAAAGAATTCTGAATTGGGACATTACTTCGCCTCGCCAATACCGGATTCCCTTTTCACACCCTGGATGACTCATGTTAGGTCTCAAACTAACTTTATAACTAACATTGCAATGTGGATTTCCTAACAACTGGCCAATACTAGATTATTGCGTGCTACGTACAGGATTCTGGTATAAAATGCCTTGGTATTAAAAGCAAATATCCCCTATGTTTAAGATTTTTAAATTTTGTTTTTAAAATAATTTAACCATTAGGACTAGTTAGTCGCTTTTCAGTTTTACATATTTTTAAGAATTTTGATTGGTCTGGAGAGTAACAGCTCATTATATGATCAACTTTGATTTTGATTCCAATACTTACCCGTATAATTAGACTGCATGAAATGATTACAATGGCAATACGAGTACATAGAGTTCTGGGAGTTTTGATGAACAGCATGGTTTTCTTGAAAAAAAAAAAGCACATTCAAAGCATTTTCTTATTACAAAACAACTTACATTTTTCAATAATGGTAGAAAATAAAAAACACACAATCCCAACCCATCTTCAAAGATATCTAAAGGGATTTTAATGAAAATGAAGTAGAAAGAAATTGGAAGTTTTGCTGTTTCTTTGTTTCTACAGTAATTTAAAAACCGTGTTTTAAGAAATAATACGTCTTTGAGGAACTCATTTTTAACGTTATATTTTGATAATAAGAAAAATAAAATAACTTTGAGTTCAAAATTTTATGGTACTTACATTAATCCACTCAAGAATGCGCTGTGTTCTTAGACATAGTTTCTACCTGTTTTATTACCTTAGTTTTGAACATTAGCATTTACAGAAAATCAATAATTCCATTGCAGCATTGTAATCTTTATCTAAACAAACTTCTGTAGTAGAACGGTTGATATGTATACAAAATCAACATGCCGTCGAATTTACATGATAACCTTAGATAAACAGAAAATTCATGATAAATTTCTGTAAGGTGAGAAATGTGAAACTGATTAGAACATTTTAAATGACCAAAATCGCGACATTAAGGGATTCTACTTCTTATAAAGTGATCAGCAGATTCAGCTCATTATAAGAATTAAGGGGAATCATCTTTTTAATGTATGTTATTTTTAGTGTATTTTCATCGATGGTAGGTATCATTTCATTCCCATCTATGAATGACCCCTTATGACAAAGGAATTTCACAAAACGAAATTAAACTGAAGGTACGTATACTTATCGAATCATATCGAAAAATTATTGATTTCTCTGTTCTTGTATCTCTTTAATCCTCAATGGATTTAAATGAATGAAAAAGGTGAAGATAACGAACAGTGTTCGATCTAAAAAAAATTACAAACTAGTTATAATTGTAACGGGGACCGTTACAGATGTTCCCCAAACGCTCCCCAACTCCCTTTTGGTGTCTTATTTCCTGTAAGCTTCATTAAATAAGGCAATAAAGTATATTGGTCATTTTTTGCATTTCACGCGCGCGCACGTGCATGCATGTGCAGGATGACCATGTCATCCCGTCTATACTATATACGCATCTTTATATTCTCAGTATCAAAACATTTCATCAAAAAATATATAAGTTCCGGCTAAATCAAGCATATTGGTCATCTTAGCATTGCGCGCACGCGCACCTGCATGCATGTTCCTAATGACCATGCCATTTTGTGTACACTTATAATATGTCTGTTTATTCTTAGTATCAAAGCTTTTCATAAAAAAATATAAAAGTTACGGCTATATTAAGTATATTGGTCATTTAACACATTGCACGCGCGCGCATGTGCATGATGGCCAAATCATCTTGTCTACACTTTTAATATATCTATATATTCTTAATATCAAAGCTTTTCATCAAAAAATATAAAAATTACGGCTATATTAATTATATTAGTCATTTAACACATTGCACGCGCGCGCACGTGCATGCATATGCATGCATGTGCATGATGACCATGTCATCTTGTCTACTCTTTCTATATATATATAAATATTTTGAGTATCAAAGCATTTCATCAAAAAGTATAAAAGTTAACGACTATATCAAGTAAATTGGTCATTTTACGCTTTGCGCGTGCGCGCACGCGCATGCATGTGCATGTTGACCATGTCATCTTGTTCACACTTTTAATATATCCTTATATTCTGAGTATCAAAGCATTTCATCAAAAAATATATAAGTTACAGCTATATCAAGTATATTGGTCATTTTACGCATTGCACGCGCACGCACGTGCATGCACGTGCGCGCAAAATGCATGCAAAATGCATGCACGTCCGCAAATCTACATAACATGCCTATTAACCCTAAAAAGGTTTTAACTCAATTGGATGAGCAGTTTCCGAGAACACTCGCGGACAAAAAAGTACCGGAGAAGAAATAAGTATAAAAAAGAATAATAACTAGAGCAAAGCTCGTTGCAAAGCAACGAGTAGGTCTTCCGTCCGATTTTCAGAAGCACTGCTTGTAAGATGGATAAATGAAAGTAAAGTTTTCGTTAAAAAGAAGGCCTCCAGACCAAAAATTATGTCGATCTGTATTTAGTTTTTTATGATTTTTATGCTGATTTTCGTTAAATAAAACAAATCAAGACTACTTCCGGTTTGACCGAAAGTGACCCCAATCGACAGAAAATTGGGTCAAAAATCTTGGTTGAATTCAATCATTTGATTTTATGTTGATATCTGCAGAAATACGTCATTATAGTTACTTCCGGTTTAGCCGGAAGTTGACAAAAGAGACGATATTCGACAGGAAATACAATCAGACGTCCTCTGTGACATGCATAATTCAATTCAATACAGTGCTGCTATCCTATAAGTTGACAATCCTATCCTATCGTGAATCCTGCATCCACAATCCTATCCTGTGATTTCAGTCTTATCCTATCCTATCCTATCCTGCTGCTCTCAGTTTTTTTTAATATTAAAGAGTTAATTTGACAAAACGAAAAAAATTATAAAATGACCATCAAGTAAAATATAGTTATGTAATTAATCTAAATGTAATAAATTTTAATGGAGAAAAAATAATCGAGATCGACATCCATTAATTTCCAACAACTCTCATGAATTAATTTGCGAGTAACCAGTAAAAATGTAAATGAAAGGATTGTAATAAAACGTAGGCAAGTACTACTTGATCTAGCGAACATGTGAAGAAATTGGAACTTCGGAAGAATTGAAGAAAAAATATAGTTAAACTTATTTGTGTTTAATTTTACATACTAACAATGATCAGGAGACGCCAAGGTATTTGTGATTTCTTTTCGAATTTGTTCTCTACGAAAAATAAATGGAGTTAAAATTAGAGAGAGAAAAAGGGGGAAACAATAAAGATTGCAGATACTTTTCTAATGTTATGATAAAGTAGACAAAAGGAACAAAATTTAAACTCTTTTTAAGACCACGAATACCAAATCTTTCATACGGGGTAGGTAGACTGAATTATAACCGTACCCATTGAAGAAATAATTTCTCTATCATGTCTACACATACAAAATAATGACAAAAGTAGGATTTGTTTGATGTTTTAACAAGTGTATGTTTCATCTGTTCATGTAAAATTTATGCAAAACTATTTTTCCCTTAAGTGGGCATCACGAAAATAACATATAGATCTAACTGCACCTATATCAGCTGTATATTAGATTTTACTTTTGACGTAAATCTAATTTAAATAAGAACTTCAAGATATGACAAGACCATAAACCGAGAACAGACAAGTCAAAATTTAGATCTAGAATATGTTGACTTCATTTATTAAATAAGTTAAAATTGTCTTTAATATTATATTCAATTTTAAATGTATGATAAAAAGAACAAGGTTCACTTAGGGCCTTTTTTGGCCCTGTGAATTTCTGAAAAACTGAAACTGCTTAGTTTTAGTTGACAATGAATTACATTTCATTTAGACCTTTGGTGATTGTGATTCTACCAAAAATGACGTAATTTTCTGGCTAGTCAATGCATTATGACGTCATGAAATGCGTCATTTTCCTCATATCCTGAACAATTCTACAAAAACAGCCAATTTTTAAAGCTATTTTTCGACATTTAATATAGAGCACAATCTCTGATCTAAAATATGCAATTATTTACTGATAGAACCGTTTCTGAGGATTACAAGACATATTTTATTTTTTAGATCAGAGGGTGCGCTCATATTATTTTTCTTCTCTGAAAGTACTTAAATATACCTGTTTTCCTTAAAAATCAAGAACATTGCAATTCCATAAAGCTTGTTTTCCAAGACCTGGACTTTAAGGAGAAAAAATTTAATAGGAAATGAAAGCACTAAGTCTCTACTTTATCTTGATGTTTGAAATGGAACATAAGGTGTTAGTCAATAAATCGGTATATCTACAGGGCCATTTTATGCATAAAGTGAACCTAGCTCTTTGTTTTATATTTATTATTAAAGTTATTCTTGTTTGAAATGTTCAGTTCATCATTTATTTGTATGTGAATATTTTACAAACATGCAACATTTTCATCATGTTTGCTAAATAAAAATCAAGATATTCAAAATGTTAAAATTTCTTATTTCGCTTCAGTTTGTTCTCTATTTATGGTCAGTTCAGTGCTGTACAAGTGTATCTTAATTAAAAAAAAAATATTTATGTGAGAGAAATTAATCAATTTATGTTTAACAGAAAACATTTTCCTAAATCTTCATAGTCAGACAGGTTGACAGCAATAATTATTGTAGTCAGCTCACACATATTCCTTAGATCTTATAAAACATGCATAAGAGTCCACAGTTGTTACAGTATTTATAATCCAAAGGATTTAAGTAAATCTTGTTTTTGACCTTGACATTTGATCTTGAATGTTATTCAGTGTCTAAATGAGGAATAAAAATAATTGACGAAGTTCACAATATTTATTCAGGGTAATTCCTTTTTTCAGTGAATATAAATATAATCATATATATTGGACTAAATACATATTATCTACAATTTATATTTACAATGTATAACAATTGAATGTTCATTATCAGGAGACAAATTCATTAAAAGTATCCATGTAAAGTATACATGTATTTCAATGCCAAGCTCAAAGATACATGTACATCTAGTTTGTTAAAATTGAAGTTTATCAATGTCTCATTACAACTGTATAATGTTTTACATGCATATTATTTGGTTTGCTTGTCCGTCGCTCAAATTGAATTTCAAATGTTGAAGTAGTTGTCAGAGAGATGGTCATAAAGTAACCGAACAGTTTCACAAATGTCACCAATGCACAGAAAACAAATACATCACACACTGATCTCCTTAATAAAGAACACCTTCAATTCAGACTCTAGGGGGCTCTTGGACACTGGTTTGAAAATCTTTCATTATTTATTCCAGCAGCAGATGAGATGAAGTGCAATTTGTACAGCTGCAAATTTGCAGGATTGTCCTGAAGAAAAAAACACACACCATTATATGCAT